AAGAATCCTTTCGAAGGTTCGTGGTTCTCAGTATAATGTATACAACTTCAGGATACAACTTCTCTCCTCTCATGCCAAAGTTTACTTTCTTTTCTGGGTAAACCAAAGTTTACTTTCTTTTCTGGGTAAACCTCGTTTGAGCTTGGAGAAAAATTTAAGTAGTAACAGTCCAAAATTAATATATTTACCTTATAAATAAATATATTAAGATGCAGGACCATACTGCTGATTTTGTTCTCAGCTTCATAGGAAAGTAAAAAACAAAACAATTTGAAGAAGCAGACTATCTTAAATTTAGTAGATAAAAAACCAAAATATAGTGTTCACAGATAAAACATTTATTTCAACAAAATTCCCCATGCATATTGTTCCATATGCCAAATAGTAACAAAACAATGATAAACAAAGGGATTTACTTACATTAATAATTTTGTCAGTCTATAGAATGTATCATTCATTAAACTGCCAATTTAAACATCTTTTTTAACCTTTTCTTTTACAATGAAAAACTTGTTTAAAAATCTTTTCTTAACAGTCAATTTCTTCAGATACTTTTATCTTCTTTCTTCTACAAATTTCCTTTATCTTCCTCTTCAAATACATTTCTTTTTCTTCTTCCATATTTCTTTTTCTCTTTCTTAGGAGAAAACACAACACCTAACCTAGATCAAATTTTAAAATAAATATCTATTTAAAATTTTTTAAAATCATTTATAAAAGAAATGAGAATGGGGCAGCCTTTCCTGCATCAAACAACTCTGCCAAATAAAAACGTCGACTCTCCGAGTCGACAATACAAAAAAATCAAAGGAAAAAATTCCTCCTCTTGGGAATAAAAACACCTCTTCCAAATAAATAACAAAAATGATGTGAAACAACAACAAATATTTATATCAAAATCATACAAATATTAAAATGAATTTGATCAGAATATTTAATTGAATTAGACTGATTTTTCAAGACCACTATTTTTTTTATGTGGCAGATTAAATTGCTTTGGAATGTTTCTTTAAAGGTGTGTGTTTAATGCAAAATATACATTGAATAAAACAAGAGTTGTTCACTCTTAGAGTATTTGAAAACTTTTGAAAAGAAAATATTTAACTGGTTTCACATGAAAAAGAGTTTGCGACTAAAATTTAGTTTTAACAAGAAATGTTCTTTTGTCAAATAGTTGCAAGGTTGAAAGTTTTATGTGAGACAAATGCTATGAAATTTTGCTTGATGAAAAGGGAACTTTAAATCTTCACTTTCTGAAATAAATGCAATAAAACTTGCTGCTTAACAAAAATGTTCACCAGAAGGATAAATTTTGTTAAATAAAATTGAGTGAAAAAGTTTCTTTGAAGTAAATTCTAAAAAGCTGAAAATATGTTTGATGCAAACTTGTAGTTTCAGAAGGTTTTTAAAATATTTTCTTTGCTGGTCAAAATCTGCAAAAGCTGGAAAATTCAAGTCAAATTTTACTAGTGTGGCAGTGATGTCTTGTTGACTTTCAAAAAAGTCTCACTGATGAGATACATTCACTCTCCCTATTTATTTAGTTTTTGGTCACATGACAGGCTCCAGATTGCTGTTGAAAATATTGTTGGTAAAACCTGATTGTGTGGATGTTATTCATATTTATTATTTAACCAATCGGCAATTAGAAAAATAGCAAGGTCTGTGTGATCCACTTTTTTGAACAAAAGTTTTCATTTTGAAGAATATATATAGCAAATGCATTGCAGTATTTTTCAGCCAATGATATTTATCAAGAAAAAATTAAAAAATTGAAGTAGAATGCTAAAGATTTTTTTGCGATTAACCCGAATGACCTTAAAAATATTTAATCAAAACAATTGTGCCATAAGTAATGATCATGTCAAATTTGGAGAAAATTGCTTGAAAAAAATCAGGGAGTTATAGGCAAAAAACTGGTTTTCTAAGCAATTTTTTTTATATACAGTGGGGAGGAGCAGAAAAAATAAAGTTGTTCTTGACCACTCATAGAACATGCTATCAGTGTGTCAAGTTTGAGTGAGATCAGTTGAAAAATGTGGAAATGTATAGTGAACATACACACAGCCACCTGTTTTATACATATATATAATCTTTTTAAAGATCATGAACTAAATATTACCACCACCTATCCTAAAGTGTTTAATTTTCTCAATGTAACCAAGGACCTGAATAACAATTATTATAAAGCATATAGAAAAGATCTATATAACCATTCATATGCCAGTAAAGAATCAAACCACCACCACAAAACTTGAAATAATTTACATAAATCATTCCAACTACAAACTCTAGCAATAAGGAAATATTTGATAATATTAAAATTAGATATATAAAGGCTTTAAAAATAAACAATTATAAAGTAAATTTAGAAAAAAAACAAATGTGAAAATAAACAGAAACAGCATAAATGCAAAATCATATGATTTAATCCACCTTTCAGCTGTAATGTTTTAAATAATATCAGAAGGATTTTCTTAAATTTAATTCATAGGCGCTTTAACCATTCACCAACTCAAAAAATGATTTTTAACAAAAATAATGTTAAGATCAGCTATAGCTTCATTAATAACAGACAAATCCATATTCCAACATAACAACATTATATTAAACAAAGACAACATAAATTTTTCTAAAAGTAAATACAACAGCCGAAAAAATATGATCTGTTTCTTAAACGATCAATAATAATAATAATATCATATACCAAGCAAGCATACATTTCGGTAACAATGCTAAATTCTATTTTGGTTCCACTGAAAATCTTTGCAAATTTCATTTCTACGATTATCGAATTACTTTAGGTAATATAAAATACAGCAAATAAAATATAAAAGCAAATGTAAGCAGAAGTTGTAGAATATTAATGAGTTTTTCATGTCCAACTTTTATTGCTTCTTAAAATTCCATGTTTGGCAAAAATCTTTTGCTGCATTTCTTCCCCCAAAATTGTTGAATCATAAATGGCTTTAATTGTACCAAAAATGATGTAAGTGTTGCTTCCTGTCTTGCAGTAGCCTTAAGTTCAAAATGGGCCCTCCTGACATAACTTTCTTTTTTTAATGTATCATTCATAGTTGCTAGTAGCATTAAAAAAACAAGAGACCCATAAAATGTCTAGGGAAGAAATATTTATTTTGATCTGTTCAATTTTCAAACAATGGCCTCTGTGCTCTGCAGCCACTACTTAACCATTTGGTTAACTGTTTTCCTTAGGTCATATTGCTGATCAGAATGGTCATGAATATTTATAATTTATATAAGCAGAAAATAACACAAATGTTTGTTAATGATTAAAGTTTTTTTTTTTTTTTTTTAACCAAAAGTTGATAGAAATAAATGTTCTTGCTTTGTTTATTAAAGCAAAATTAGTTCTTACAATTAAATTGAAATGTTTTTCGACATTTACAGATAGATAATACAAATATCTGAATGTAAGTCATTTGACTTTCTTTTCTTTTTTTTTGTTCTGCATCCAATTTACCAGTTTAAAAGGGAACATGTAAATTTATTTTTTTTTTTTTTATTTTTTTTTTTTGTTTCTACATTTGTGCATGAATGCATGCATGCAAGTGCTTCATTAGAACTTGTTTTTAGAATAAATAATAAAGTATATATATTAAATATAAATAATAGAATTTTCATGACTTATTCTGTATCTTGGCATCAGGGAGATGTTAATCTTGGGCCCTGGTTCAAGCTAACGGGTGTCAAAATTTGTTGGTAAATGTTATTTTTGGATTTCTGTAGCTGTCTTTGTTTTGAATGCCTCATGTAACAATAATATTGTAATAAAAAAATCAATAAAAATGTATCCTCTTTTAATTTTATATTTTTCTTGCTTTATTTTTTTCTAATTCATTAATTTTAAACAGAAAATCTCTGATTTCCTATTCTTGTCTCAAAGTAAATTATCAGCTATCGTATGTTCTTGTGCATAATATGAGTAATTTTGAACGAAAATTAAAGTAAAAAAAAAAAAGGTGGATTATACGCAAATACACATTTTCAGAATTTTTATTCAGCTTAAAAAACCTTACTTGAAACGACAACATTGCGTATACACTCCATTTTGCATGTTTTTTTCTCCATTCAAAATGAAAGACAATATTATTTTATTTTCATATCACTCTATATTAAGTCATATCAAATAAAAAAATTAAAAAAAAAAAAACCTATAGTAGATTAATTAAAACTTTAAAATGTATTATCAAGTATGTCTAATTATGTATGTGTATGTCTAGTTAGCTCTTTTCCCCAATGTAATTTATTCCTTGTTTTTAGCTTCACAAACATGGTGTCGTATTACACACAAGACAATACGGTATTTGAATTACTCACATGAACAAGGTAAATCAAACAGTGAATTCGGCAGAATATCTTTGTCAGCATTTCATAAAATTTTACATATTTGAAGTGGATTTATCAGTGCATTGCAATCCCAATATAAAAGGTGTCAGATAAAACGCCCTACATTTAGTTACTACAGGAAGAGATAGTTGACATTTTTAGGATGCAATGAAGAAAGTGGGCTTGGAGAATTTTTACATGGCATATTGATGGCAATTGGGACAGAAGAAAACCGTGAGTAACCTACCCCATGAGATTCTGATAGTGAAAAGACAAACTTTACTGAGAGCTACAAACGATAGGAAGTTGTGAAGAGCCATGATTGCTGACATCTCACATCCAAAATCTAGTTTCAATATATGCCAGTATACTATTTTTGTATCTTGTCTCATATATTTCAAAGTTTGTTTTTAGTTATTAAAGATAGGGTGTGCCAACCTGGACAATTTCAACTCTTGCAGTATAATGATAAACTATATCCTGCAGCAATGCTTTTGATTGGGAGGTTTTGAGGAGTGTGGAACCACCTCTTAATTACTCATGTTCCCAGGTTCATCCTGAGCCAGGGTGGTAGCACCTGTTAGAGTCCTTGCTATGGGCAACGACTAAAATAATTGAATTTAGCACTCTGGGCTAGACCACACCTAGCCTCAGGGGCAGGTTTGATCAGGAGGCAAAGAGACAGGTAAAAGGCCCAGGTGGAATTTCAAGAAAGACAGAGGAATTGCCTGCACACTTTGGGCGGTGATGGAATGAGTTGGGCGGATCGATATTCTGCCACCACCACTCTTCGAGGGAGGGATCTTCCCAAATTTGATCAGGCAATCAATTTCCCGACCACCTCATATCCCGCACCGGGTTTACGCGAGAGTCCATGAATACAGACGAGTGAGATGAGAGAGAAGGAGGAACCAGACCGCTTGAATTGCGAGCTGCGAGAGAAACACGTGCCAGTTGGTTCAAGAGCCGGTTTATTAAACCCCAAGCAGCTTCTGCAGAAAGAGCTTAGACTATTCCAGCCTTGGTCCAGACTACTAAATACACCTGAATGGTCGGCCCGAAGAAATCACAGAGTGGAAGAAATCAGACTTCAGCCTTGTACAAGTTTACCGAGTGTGGCTAGACATAGTGTCACCGGGTATTATTGGGTGGGTGTGCTGAAAATCTGCATGTTGTTATTGTTGTGCTACACCTGTCTCTTACTTTGTTCCTTGTGGCGTCATCTCGTCAAAGTTACCGGATCAACGACGTTGAGTATACAACTTGGTCTTCACCCGCCATATGATCTAAAACAAACACAACGTGGGCAGGGTGGGAATTGAAGAGCGTACAACCAATTCCAAGGCTGGTCAAGGATCGACCACGGTCTCGCCCTGTGACTGAGGACGAGATTGTGAGGTCATATTAGTTTACTTGATCCAATAACTGACACTGGAAGATCTTACAAACCTTCAAAAATGGAGATGGAAAAAGCTTCCAATAAGAGAATTTCTTGAAATAACATTGAATAAAGATACAATCAAGCTTGGTCATCAAAAAAATCTGAGTGAAAAAGTAAATGGTTTGTATATCCAAATTTTATTTTCTATTTAAACATGTATTCCAACAAGAAAAATAAATTTGCTTGTTAATCTCTGCAGATGTTAAGAACCTTTTTAAATATTCATTTTAATGTATTCATTTTTCCTACCTTGATAAATTCGAGATGGACTGATTTCCTGGCAGGCACTTTTCCAGACAATAAAGTCAAACCGTCATAAAACGTCAGATTACGAAGCAGTAACAATTTTCTAAGTCTTACAGAAATATAAAAATGGACAATTTTTGCATTACAAGATTCTATTGAAAGTAATGTAAAAAGTAATAACATCAAATATTTTGGCACACATATGCCATTTTAATATATCATCAATGCGACCTCTCAGACTGATGTGACGCAGCTAGTGCAGAAACATTGGGTTTAAAATGTTATCTTTAACTGCAAGCCATCTCGCTCGGTTACATCCAGGATAATTCTACTTTCAGATAACAAGGTTTTAACAAGGGTTGAAGCCAGCTTCTACCAAGTAGGATGTTGGAAAGGCAAGCAAAATTAACTTTAAGTGCTTTCATAGATTAAGATATGATCTCTCTATAGTTTGATGATACCACAAGCCATTTTTACCATGAAGCAGATAGCGTATTGTAGCACCATTATCATTATGTAAATCTATCAATTCTTCCTGCACATTGTCATCGTATTCGATGACTTTGACTTCAAACGGGTTGGAATCGCTGTACAATATCATCATGAAATGATTGCAAATAATCGCAATGGAATCCTCAACAAAGAATTCATTTTTCAAGCGATTCAATCATTGAAATTGGTGGAGTTGACATCTTGAAATGTTCATCTTATACAGTGTTCATTTTGAAATGGAGGTAGTAATGGACGATTTGCAGTTGACAAGTTTTTGCTTTCCTTGCAATAACGTATTGAGATTATTTGGCTTCAGGAATATATTGTAAGGAAAAAGATATCACATTTTGAAGAAATCAGTGGACTGTTTTGAAAAACAAAAAGATTATTGCGCCAAACACTTTTGAGAAAACCGATAATGTGGTTGACTTTTGACAACCATCGTATTTCAGTTTGGAACAAAAGCCTCACATAATCATCATTATTATCAAACAGAAAATAAAAATGTCCACTAGATGCACAAACGCGCAAACGTACACATACTGTCAATCAAATCCCGCATAAAACAACTAAAAGTATGACACACAGTCACACAAAAATTAGACGTATGAGCGCTACCTGACAACTCAAATACACCTGAGGTCTAATTTTCTTTTCTCTTCCATGTTTCATTTCTGATGAAGCTTAAATAAAAACGAAACATGTTCAATTTATAAACGTTTTCTATATGTTCCTTATACTCACACACACACACACACACACACACACACACACACACACACACACACACACACACATGTCTGACCATGACATTCAGGTTCGAATCTTACCATGATCGATTTATCAGGAAGGTGAATTATTGGTGCTGTCAGTCTGGTGGAGGTAATCCCAGCTAGCGGTCCATTTGGAAAGTACTGAAAAAAAAAGCCGTGTAAATGAAATTGGGTAGACGGAACTATTTGCGGTAGACGGAACTAAATTGCAAGTCATCGTAACTGAGGGTTTTGGCCTACTGGCCTTGTTGAAACTGCTGTTTATGTCAGGTTATGCGCACTCTCCCAGAAATTGTAGCTAATGCATCTGAAAAAATATATAATACAAACTTTAAATAATTAAATAAAAGAAAGAAATATAATATAAACTTTATTTATTAAATAACAAATAAACGAATAAACATTAAAGTATTCATCTTTGCGCGTGTGTAGTGTACATGTACATGTCGGCATATACACACGCAAAGAAACACTAAAAAACTTAACCTACTAATTAATACGTCAATATATAACACCAAGACAAAAACAAATAAACTATTAAATATTAAATAAAAATGAAACATTAAATAAAAAATAACATGATATTATAGTGGGTTAGCCAATCTGTATTGGTTAAATACAAATCAAACTGACCCTCTACCATTTTTACTATATCAAATGGAACAAAGACAACAACAAGAGAAATAATCAAGTAGAAGAATTTGTTCAACAATATTTTTTTTATAAAACACAACAAATACAAAATATATGGTGCTAAAGTTGTTAAAACACTTAAGTTCTTTCAATATAACACACAATCAAGAACCCTAAAGTTGCTGACCTGTATGTATGAAAGTGAGAAGGTGTGCTTAAGTATATTTGTCGTAGGAAAATTAAATAGTTATTTTTTGTATTAAATTATTAAAAAGTGGTGTTCTTGATTCGCTGTGATTTGTACAGAGTTGTCGCTCTTTTACAGGAGATGTTTGTTGTGGAATATGTTTTGTTGGAGTGAGCGTTCTTTCGCAAGCTGGGTTTATGTTAATTTAAGTAACTAACGTTAAGACTGGAATTAGTGACACGGTTCGTTGTCGCGTTAAAGAATTTGGTTCGTCTCCTTTGTTGTGTCGATTTCCAGTGAAGTCAAGTGAATGAGTTGAATATTTTAAGGGCCCACTGACCAAGTCGCGTCGAAGTTTCGTTTTGGTCATGTGGGGGATCGAGAACATGCTTACATTTTGTGGCGTCAACTCGAGATCAAAATTTGGGTCGGTACCTTCGGAGGTAGTTGACGACACCTAATTAATCTTTTTCAACCAATCAGAATGCATCAGTTGTTATACAATACACAAATTTGAGATTTAAAACAAATGTAGGAATCTGATACTACAATATATGCATACACTTATTTTAATTATATACACTAATTTTTTTTTAAAGAAAACTTCGTAAATTTGAAAATTGATATAGAACAATAAAAAACGCAATATTTTCTAGAGTTTTTTTTATAATTTACTTTATTATTTACTTTATTATATATACATACATACATACACACACACACGCACGCACACACACACACACATATATATATATGTATTACATTTATCCACTGTGCCACGTGTTCTTGAGTACACATGGCACAGTGGATAAAGGCGTTAGTTAGATCCAGTGACAGGACCCAAAGAGTGTGAGTTCAATACATGTTTAACTTGGAGAGGGGAATTAGCTGGAGATAACTGATAACTGACATCCATTAGGTATGGCACGTGGAACTAGAACAGTCTACCCCAGTGAGCGAAATAAAGGGTTTAGTTCGACATTCCAACCACCTGAAGAAGACCGGAGCGTACAACGGCCGAAGCGTTCTGGTAAATATGGCAACAAACATGAGCACAATAGTCCAAATAATATAGTGTACATAATACCTCATCTCAGAAATATATATATATATATATATATATATATATATATATATATATATATATATATATATATTCACGGTACTTAATGGAAAGTGCTCAATATCTGTGAGAGAGCTAACATATTCAGTTGTATGGCTATTAGTTTGTAAATATGGGTTTCACGCTTTTGCGATCATCAGACAATCTTGTGTGTGTGTGTGTGTACACACACACACACACACACACACACACATATATATATATATATATTAATAGTAGTACACGTTTGGAAAACCTCGGATAGCTCAACTTGCAGATATGTCATGACAAATCGGTCCCCGAGTAAAAATTGTAAATAAAAAAAGAAAGAACTAAAAACATCAGAAAAATACGAAACAAATCGCCAAGTGCTTAAAGTCCTTAGTCTAAAGAAAAAAAAACTCAAACGAGTAGAAAGACTAAAACGTAGAGTGCTCAATACGCTAAGTAGAGCGATGAACCTGGCTCCTTAAGATTTATTCTAGTATATATATATAGTTGTATGGATATTATTTTGTAATCCTAGGTTTCACGCTTTTGCGATCACCAGTTATCTCTCTCTCTCTCTCTCTCTCTCTCTCTCTATATATATATATATATATATATATATATATATATCGTCGTCGTCGTCCACATCCATCCGTCTCGAGAGACAATGGAGTAGCGTGGGGCGCTACGAGCCTGGGCGGGATATATGGAGAACTAGGGCGGCCCAGACGTCTAGATCCCCGTCTCGGCCTTGTTAGCAGAGTCCAAAGGAGAGAATAAACCAATACAGTTTGGTACCAGTGCGGCTGCAGGAGTTGCCGGAAGGTTGCACAAAGTGCTGTCCATCCACCTTAGAGGCTCCACTCTGGGTTTGAATTCAGAGTTGTCCTTCTCCTAGAATAGTTGCCATCCAAGGCTATAGAACCCAATCTGTCCTGCTATTTACCCATAGCTGGAGGGAGAAGAAGAGGATTCACACCTTTCCTCAGGGTATTAGCACGTAAGTGAATGTAATGGATTCGACTGAATTCGAACTCGGCTCTCCAAGCCGCTATCCTTTACTCCACCGTCCCCCATATATATATATATATATATATATATATATATATATATATATATATATATATATATAATGAGAAGCCACGTATACTTTCTTAATATGTATATATAGAAAAAGTTTCAAACTAAAAATTATAATGTTTTATTTTATGAAAGTATTTATTTATTTATATATATATTTGATATTTCAAATTGTCCTCAATTTTTCATCAGAAATAACTGTTTGTTACAAATAAATTAAAATTACTGTTTGTTGGCAAGTAGCGTCCTTCGAGAGACGCGGACGTCACGTGATATGGAACATCACTGTTCAGATATTCCTAACTTAAATCTAACTGTCATAAATATTTTAAAAATATTTTTTTTTTTTTTTTTTTTTTTTACTATATCTAAAAAAATTGCTTAACTATTGAAATATTTATAAAGATTTAAAACACCTAAGTCCCTATTCAACCCTAATTTATGTGTATTTAATTTTAAAATCCAATATGTTTCTTTTTTTTCTGCGTGTGAATGTGGAAGTAAAATCGGAATCTATTAATAAACATTTGCAGTTTTCTAATGTGTGTCCTGATTGATTGTAGTGTTTAGCTATGGGGAATAAGGGTTGTTTTGACGTATTGTTTGTTTATGGTTATTAAAACGAAATCTAAAATTGTTTCCAGACTCACCAATATATATCCACTATTAGGACATAAGTTGCAGAATAAATAATAGATTACGTTATGGATATCGCAGGTGAGGTTAGGTGGCTGTATCCTGATATTGGTGTTGGGTACGTAAAATGTATTAGCTATTACTAAATGTTTGCAAACTAAGCAACGAGGTTTGTTACATTTGTAATTTCCTGTTTGTTTCTATTGTTTAGATATTTGGTAGAGGTGAGGATAGCTGATAAGTTAGGTGATTGTTTCATTGCATTTATGGGTGGTTTATCGAAAATGTCTTTGATCTTGTTGTCTAATTGGAGGTTCTTGTAATCATTTTTAAAATTGTGAATAAGTGTGTTGAATATTGATTGTGGTTAAAAACCATGGGAATCCGATTGTTGTTTTTTTTTTTCTTGTATGTGAGAAGTGTATTAAAAATTTATCAGGATAGTTTTATTTAGTGCTTCTTTTATTATTTTTATTGGGTATTTGCATTTTAGGAATTGTTTTGTTAAGTTATTAATATTGTATAGAAAATCTAAATGGTCTGAGCATATGCATATTTTTTAAAATATTTATGACAGTTAGATTTAAGTTAGGAATATCTGAACAGTGATGTTCCATATCACGTGACGTCCGCGTCTCTCGAAGGACGCTACTTGCCAACAAACAGTAATTTTAATTTATTTGTAACAAACAGTTATTTCTGATGAAAAATTGAGGACAATTTGAAATATTAAATATATATATAAATAAATAAATACTTTCATAAAATAAAACATTATAATTTTTAGTTTGAAACTTTTTATATATATATATATATATATATATATATATATATATATATCAATCAAGGATTCGGGAGCCTCGTTCGCGTAGATAACAAGTAGCTTCCCTTACAAAACTATTCAGTAACATTTTTTTATTTTATTTTAAAATCCTTGTTTCTGTAGCACGCACACGTCGGTGATGATGACTCTCCTCAAATTCCTTTTCTTTATTTCCAATGCAAGAAGATTCAGAATATAAGTTAATGTAAACACAAAGATAACCACATGCAATAATAAGTGAAATAATCTTTTTTTTTATGTAGAAATTGTTTAAAACGCTAAAATGAACTATATTCAATATTTAGAAATGAAAAGTTAATATTATGCAGCTGATGCCAGAGAGAAGACAGTATTGTTGGATTGAGTTTTGAACTTCAACTGCGTCTGCAAATATTTCCACGACTATCTTTGGAAAAGGCATGTATCTAATTCTCCCTGCTTTATGTCCTATATCTAGATGCTTTGACAAAGCTTTTGTCCTTTGTATGCAATACAATTTGATCAGGAATTTTTTCTCCTTCCAGTCTGAGCGTCATTTGGTTCCCAACAAAGTTTCCCAAGTAACAAAAATGAAATCTTCATAGATCCGGTTAGTCTTGTTTTGTTCATGATTAAATAACGAAGAGAAGGAAGATTTTGTTGCAGCGAACTTTCAAGTGAACCTAGCCAGTTTGCAAATTTAGGATTCAAAACCCTGTCTCGAACACCCGCCATAAGACATTGTTGGTAAACATTTATTTAATTTCGAAAAGCTTTTTCTCTCATCTTTCAAGGGAGGTTACTTGTTATGAGTTATCTCCCTTGAAAATTTTAACTTTGTTGCTTGTTCTTGAGGATATTCTTTTTATACCGTTCGTCCATTTGAATCTAGGAAGAATGAAATAAAATTGATATGGTGGCTACATAAGTACTGCAAAAAATCATGCAAACTTTCGACATTCAAAAATGAAAAAACAAAGAACCAAACATATAAATGAAAAAAAAACAAAAACAAAAAAAACTCCCCCCAAAAAGCTAGAACACAGAAGAAATGTCTTTGAAGTTATTTTTTTTTTTTTATTTTATTTGAAAGATATTTTTTTATGTGGCCTCCTTCGGTCTGGAGAGACCTTGGATCTTGGCCGAAAGAGTTATGCTTCAGTTGCCGATGGTGGCACAGCATATATTATTAGTTGTACCGGCCCACACGGGGGTGACGTTCTCCCACCTATGTCGCCCTATTGTTTTCTTCCCGTCGAGTATGCTTCTCCTCAGCGGCAAGTTTTCGCTTCTCTTTTCTTCGCTCCAACCCCTGGTATGAATCACGTCCCCAGCGAAGATGAGGTTGCCTTCCTGCCCTCTTGTTGGTGGTTAGTTCCCCGTAAAGAAGGATCCTTTGGAATCCTTCCATGAGATATACGGTGTACATGTCCAAGCCAGAGAAGGCCGTATTGGCTGTGTAACTGGGCACGGGTGAGAACTACGACAAAATATTTTAAATATAATCAGTCAGTTATGTGCCAAAAGATAAATCAAGTATTTTTTTTACATGACTGACGAAAGAAACATTTTTTTTTTTACCGCTGTAGGTTCTTTCTGCGGTAGACCAGTTAATTTTTTCTGTAGTAGACCAGTTGCCATTCAAGGTCTGTCCTGCTATTTACCCAGTGGGGAGAAGAGCGTATTAGCACGTAAGTGAATGTAATGGATTCGACTGGAATTCGAACTCCGATTCCTCAATCCGAGCCGCTATTCATTATTCCATTGTGCCTCCTCCTAAAGATAGTAGTCTATAGTTAATTTGTAAAAAAAAAAAAGATTTTCGGCATTTTTAAAGCAAAAATGAAAAAATGAATTTTATTTCCGGCCAGTTCGATCAGCAAATTTGATGAATGCCGATAAAAAAGAAATTAAAACACTTTAAAAATCTTTCTGTCTATAATTCTATGACTTTCGTTAGTCCGTCCGTCACACCTTCTAAAATTGCTATATATTAACCGCTCGAAACCAAATTTTGGAGAGAATCTGACCACTAGTTAGATGGGTGTACTGTTGATGTACTGGAATGGCTCAGAATTGTTAATCAGAGAGCCGAGTTCATATTCCCGTTGAGTTCGTTATATTCACTTACACGAAAATATCCTTGGGAAAAGTTTGAATCTGTCTAGGTTTCGAATATCGTCGACCCATCGGTGAAGGTGGCATGCGTTCTATGTAAACAATTTCGATGGTCCATCACCGGAATATGTCGTCTTGTGAATTTCCGAAGAAAGGACGCCATTGAAAAAAGATCAACAGTTTAATTAGCCACCTTCATCGCCAGATAAGCCTGATGGGGGAAACCGGTCTAATCGCCAGTGACTCGACCATGCGGCAGATGTCAATAGGTTACAAATTACCAAGCACATGCCGGATAGGGTTTATCATTTCTTAGTTGCCTGTCTTCGGGCAGAGTGCGACTCAGTTGTGGCTCCTTTGAAGGATAGAGGCGCAACTGAGGAGAATTATATTATGAAGCGCCCAGCCTTGAAGGACACCTATCCAAGGCTGCACCCTCCCATGACGCTATAGAGAGGGATCGCCACCGAGGCCAACGAAAGAGACAGTTGTGGTGGTTCGGGAATTTTTGTCCTTGGCCCGAGTGTACGCGCTCGGGTTCCCACAATAAACCCGACCTTGTGTCACATCACATCTCAGTGGGGAGGGCAAGGGTAAATAACTACAAATTACCAGTAGTACTCGCATTTCAAAATAATGAATATGGAGCCAACTGCGAAAAACGTACTTGGATTATGTTTGGTTTAAATTATTTTATTTGGACAAATGTTACATTCTGATACGCGAGAAGGTTTATTAGCTGACTGGTGATAAACAGACAAGAATGGATGTTTACTAAGCTTACCTAAGTACAGCACATGAAAAATGGAGTTACAAAGATTGTGTTGCGCCAGATTCTCAAATTGAGAAAGTTAACCTGACTGATTTGAACAACAATGATGTAGCCAAATAGATACATAGTTCGATCGATAGATAGATAAGAACATACTGAGATAGATAGGAACACATATAGAGAGAGAGAGAGAGAGAGAAAGAAAGAGACTGCCGTTGACAGATAGATAGAAACAGACCGCAATTAACTGAGGTACAGAGGCAGATAGATAGATAGATAGATAGATAGATAGATAGATAGGGGCAGATTGTGATAGATATTGAATGAAAAGAAATGTCGTGTGGATACAAAAATAGTGAGAAGAAAATAGGTACATCTTGAAGTAGGAACATGTTGAAAGAATGTCAAATTTTGGGCCATAGATAAGTAAGTGTGCACCAACTTGTTACTTCAGTCAGTTCGGTCGGCACAGTGTTATTGTTGTTACTGAGTGAGTTATTTTCTTTTTTTACTAGTCATACATAGAAATAAATTCAACCACAATTCTGTTTTTTTTTTAAATGCTACACTCATAAAAAAAGAAAATAACTCAAACAGAAGGGAAATCCTAGAGAGTGCCGCCATTGAATATTACCCAAATATTAATCTACACCCAGGCTTTTTCCCTATTTCACCTTTCTTAACAGAATTACTACTCTCCCAAACAAACGTACAGAACAGTATCAAGAAGTCAAAAGAAAATGGTTGAATCCGTCAACACAGCAATAAAAACAATATCTCCACACGTGACAGTAATTGACTTAATTTCAGTCAAAAGTATGAAAATAGCGTTCTCTAAATTCTTCCAGTTGCTAAGGACATTTTGTTTTGTTATTATTAGTTATTTTGTTTAATAAATTCATTTCGTTTTGCCTTGAAAAGGTCCATATCGGACGAAACGCGTCGGCAATTATTACAGTTTTCTTATTGTCTTTTACATTTATAAATATAGATACTTTGTTCAAATAACAACTTTGTTTCGATTAAAAACGACAAATATATATAAAAACACACGTCACACAACGTTGCGTCACAACAATTTTTGCTTACGTCACAAGATTCATTAGTTCTACGACTTTAGATCCCAAAATGCGCTCCACGCGCTTTAATACATGATTCTAACATTCAATCATTCATTTATTCTGTTAGCGCATTTTGTGCCGCTGTGGATATCACTCTTCTCAATTTCACAATTGTGGTTCATGGTGACATTCAAAACAGAATAGTGCAATGGCTTGCTGGTTCCTTTTGCGCCGGGGATGTTTAAATTACCCTGTCTATTCTCGCAGAAGTTAAAGAAGCAAGACCTACAAAGCAGCAAGTGGTTTGAATTCAGAGTTTTTCTTCTCAGACTGGCGATGGTATATGGAGCCTATGTGCTTCCCAGACTGCATGTCCTCTACCTGTCAGCCATTGCAACAAGATGCAAGGGAATACAGGGCATTACATTTGGGGACGGCTTGGCTGCAGGAGTTGCCGGAAAATTGTCAGCTCGGGGCTCCACTCCTTATATAAACATTTTATATACATTACATGTTTTAGAAGTTTCAAAAAATTAACATTTTTAAATATATAAAACATTAGGTAAACAAAAGTACTAGAAAGCAAGACAAATTACAAAACACTACATAAAGAAACGCAAATATAGAAAGATTTCTTAATTATAGAAAATTCTAACAGTTTATTTAAAAAATAAATATTATACAAAACCTGTAAAACTTAAAACCACCTAAATACAATTAAAAACTGCCTCTTCTCATAATTAAAATTGCAACACACCTAACAAATCAAAACTAAAACGAACGAGGTAGCTTATCAATTGAATTGCTCAGTAGAAGGCAGCGTCTCTTGTCATAAACCAATCATCTACATTGGATATACGACGACAACTATCTTCCGACGAATAACGAACCACTCCAATGATATCCATGCCATGAAAAAGTCACTTGACGCCCACAAACAACGGCCTGTCCTCATTAGAAAAAAATTAAAGGTGATTATCTCCCTTTGGTCGAGATGAAGTCAGGTGGGTGGCGTAATGGTGGTTTAATGATGTCACTTCATAGTGTAATAAAAGTGGTCATCATTCAGGAGTCAAATTGTGCATTTGCTTTTTTTTTTTTCTCTCTTTCTGTCATGTGGTGAAGTTAAAAAGCCTATGGCGCCGTTTTCTATGGAAATATATCCTCACCAAATATAGAAAATATATCCGGCTCGCAGTCCTTTTGCGCATGTCCTCGCTAGCAATATAACAGACAAATCAGGTCCGATCGAATCTGGAACCATAAATATTTTTTAAGAAGAATCTCTGGAAGCTCCAGTTTATTATCGTTGAGAATCATTATACTCTCTTTTTTCGTCCTCCTTTCACTCTGCTTGTTCTTGCATACACGTTGTAGTTTCTCTGTGTGGAACACGTGAAAATATGTATATCTTTTACATAAAAATCTATTGATGTTTCCTCTTAATAATAACATAATGATTTTGACGATTGTTGTGGGGCAAAGAGTACACACCGGTGACTATGATTGCGTCCAGTTCGATAAAATGTCATGTTATGAGGTCGTGAGTAGTCGGACCTACGTCAGGCAGTGCGCCGCTACGCTCGCGACAGACTTGTCAAACTCACTGCTTTTGGGTAGAGAGGAAGCGAGATGAGTAAATAGCAGTTGAATCACAGTCAGTTCCAGGCTTTTGATAAGACAAGACCGCTGTTTTCGGGCAGAGGGTGACAAGACCTCCGTCTTCGGGCGGAGTGTTATTTAATCGGAGCTCTGTCTTCGAGAAAAACAGTTAAGTTGGTGTTAGGTAGTTCGCTGTCTGGCTTACGACTGACAAGATCTACCTCTGTCTTCGGATAGCGACTCAACTGAGAAAAACAGATGTTGGTGTTAGGCAGTTCGCTGTATGGCTTACGATTGACAAGATCTACCTCTGTCTTCGGGCAGAGGTTGACTCAGTCGGGGCTCTGTTTCCGGATAGAGACTCGGTTGAGAAAAAAGGCAAGTATTTGCAAGGCAAGCTTTTCGCGTGGGCTAGGTAAATTTTGAACAATGGCCCGGGTGAAAACGATTGGGTTCCTCACAATAAAACCCCACCTTCTTTCACAACTCATCTCAATTCGGGAGGTAGGTTGGGACTAAGTAAATGACTGTCGTATTGGAGTCAGTCTTCGTACAAACTATAAAAAGCGTTACGGCAATAACCTAAACATTACTTATAGAGAATACTTTAACGCATTACGTTATACCAAGTACGAGTGTGTGTTATAACATTAAGACTACAATAGGAAGTTATAAGAAAACTTTGTTTTTATTAAGTTTTGTGCGTTTTTTCATCAGGTATGCTCATCCTTTACCGAATCATAGAGATAACAGATACCTGTATATATGTATTTACCACACACACACACACACACACACACACACATATATATATATATATATATATATATATATATATATATGTGTGTGTGTGTGTGTGTGTGTGTTGTATACTACGTATATATATATAGTATACACGCACACACACATATATATATGTGCGTTATATAATATATATACCACATACACATTCACACACGCATACATACATACATCATATATATATATATATATATATATATATATATTTCGTTAAGTATTTAGCATGAAATATTTAAAACAAAGGTTGCACCCTAAATATATATATATATATATATATGTGTGTGTGTGTGTGTGTGTGTGTGTGTGTGTGTGTGTGTGTGTGTGTGCTCGGAAGAGGGGTGCCATTTATCGAAAGGGACATTTTTAGCATTATCATAAGTAAAGGACCACCCAAAGAGTTGACAAGATCTCCAGTCATCTGACCCCCAACAGCAAAAACGATCTACCCCGGGTGTTCGTCTTCTTACCACTTCTAAGATTAATTTATTGTCTGTATCCGCTTTTGATAGTGACATCTTTCTTGAAATGTTTATGGGTTCTATGCCTGGTGCGCGACTATCTTTCGAATGAGATGGCAACCTTTCACCAGTCTATGACACTCGTTGGTTTTCAGTCAGAAATATGTTAAAGTAAGAAATAAGTATTTCTTGGAATGTAGAAACGAAACTAGCGTACTTCATAATATCAGCTTTGACCATTGTTCCGAATCACCCCATTCCTCTAAGTCGAATTACACCCGGATTTTATAGCTTTTAATATTTAACTATCGAGCTATTATATGGATCGTTAGAACGTCGGTTTCCGACCATGAGACCCTGGTTCGAATCGTGCCATGTTCGATCTGAAATGTGACTTCTTGATGTTATCGCCCTGGGCAAATGTTCCTAGCGAACGACATGTTTGAAAACCATATTCCGTGTTGACTTAAACCTTAAGAGTGAAATTCGGCCGATAGAATATTTGATCGATCGTTGTCCTAGTAATAAGTTGTCCTAGTAATAAGTTGTCCTAGTAATAAGTCATCGTGACCGAGGAGCTGAGCTGCACTGGTTTTGTTCAAACTCTTGATGATGCGCTCTCCCCCAGAAACTGTAACTAAGGCTCGCAAATGCAATATAAACCAGAAGTGGGATCTACGGGTGTCGAACAAATACAAATATACCTGAGCAGGAAGCTGTAAAAGGGACTGGCTACCTGCTCTAGCCTATAGGCATGCTCAGATACGAGCAGCCAGCCATTATAGATCAGTTGAGGATATCAATTTCGCATTTTTTTTTAAAAAAGCTGAAATAGATATTGACCAATTTTTTATGTCAAAAAGAATTATTTATATTTGTATTATTGTTCTCAAACAACGTTTCAGTCGTTTCGCGCTTCGATCTTCATCAGGTGTATGTCCATCCAGGTAATCTGAACTGAACCTTTTATTTAATCAATGGGGTCGGGGTTAGACTGTCTCGTTCTACTGTCCATGTCTAGGGATATCTCGTTTAGTTCTTATTTTTAGTACTGTTCAGTATTTAATCTACTAGGCTATTGTCCGGTGACATAGTAATTGTGAGTTCAGTCCTGTTTTTTTTTTTTTTTCTGTCATCTCTTTCTGTTTGATGTTATCTGCTTTCAAAATATCCAGGAATATTTCGTCGTCTTTCATGATGAGCTGCTTGGCCATTTCTTTGCCTATCTCTCGCTTCCTAATTCTGTTCCTGTGTTTCAGCTAAAAATCCAGAGGATTACATTTAAGCTCGATAGAACAGATCGCAAGAAGCAGAGTATTGGTAAGGTGTTCGACTGATTGGAGTTGATAGATTCCCCTATCGTACAATTCACATTTTAAACAGGAGTAGAGAAGTTTATCCCTTGTTTCCTGTTTAGGACTGGGTTTTCGGTTCCTTGTAAAGTCTACTAGTAT